CCACATAAGTCCCATCAGATGGATTGGTCGTCTGTGCGAACTGTCTTTCCCTCCGCTGAGGGAAAGACATATAGACAGAGAGATGGAGAATGGTCCTTTCTTTTCTTTTTCTGTAGCTTTGTCCCATTCTTATATGGGGCCGTTATGATCAGGTTCTGGCAGATATTTTCTATGGCCGGATGCCCTTCCTGACGCCAGTCCTCTCTATTCACCCGGGCTTGGGACTGGCACTGACTATTGAGAGGTTATTTGGAAATTCCACCCTTGCCTGATTGGATGCCCTTCCTAGTCAACCGCGATTCGGCATGCTAACACCTGCGTTTGACTTCTCAAGGCGATATATCGTTTTCTCGCCTCTTTTCTCTATTTTTAACTTCTACTTATCCTAGAAAGCTGAAATTTCACATGCGTAATCATGCACATCTCTGTACCTCATGTGAGTTTTCTATTATAGCAGGACTTGTTGAAGTCTACAGGTTGCATATGAAGCCATGAGGTGTCTTATCATCTTGGAAACGGTTGCCATTCAAAAATGACTTCATGGGCAGAGAGGTAAAGGGCAGATGATGCAAGGTCAGGGAAATAAGGAGAGTGAGGAAGGATTGTCGTAGTCACAGGACTGCGCTTCCATCTTGAGTGTAAGAGGTGGACACCTTTGGTCAGCATTCCACACTTCTTGGTTTTGATAACCTTCCGTAATTTCTGTAGCAATACTAGCTCCTGTAATTGTAGTACCATTTGCCAAGAAACCCATCATCACTACTCCATGCTGGTCCCAAAAGACTGTTAGCATGACCAAGTGTGATGAGGGTATGACATGTGCCTTTTTAAGAGATGGTGAGTCAAAGTGATTCCATTGTTTTGACTAGGCCTTAGTATATGGATTATAGTGATCATAGTTTCATTTTGCATAATTAGTCTGTCAAAATGTCCTAATTTCTTGGCACATGGCTTAAAGAGCCTTGGAACAATGGACTTGTTCCAGATTCTGGAAAGGTGGAGTAGCCTGGGAACCCAGTGACCAGACAACTTTTATTTGCAGATGGCCATGCATGATCTTGTCCAAAGACCCAACACTAATCTTGACATACCTATACAAAACAACTGCTGCCTTATAGGTCAGTCCGTGCATGGTCAAAGGCTATGGGAGTTGGCTCTATACGACATCTGCTGCCTTGTAGTTCAGTCCATGAATAGTCAAAGGCTAAGCCACTGTCTATAAGACGAAAAGACTTCAGGAGTGAACCCTGAGGAAAAATCCGGAGCCGGAGTCTCTAAGTCGCTTGTGACCTCGTTCTGGCAATTCCTGCGACGTCGCTGGTGCCATAACGTATCGGTCTAAACCGTTCCTTTGGATCCATCAGCTGCGTGGATAAGGATAAGTCCGATATGCGAGGCTGACCCTCGCCCGGGCTATGAGGGGAGCCCGGTCTGTGTCAACTAATGTCGATTCGCTAACAGTGTGTCAGGTGGTGCTGATTCGGCTTAGTCCTTACCGGCCGTAGTGCCCAGCCACAGCAGTAATCTCCAGGCGACAATTGCAACTTCTCGCGCCTGTGCGGGGCGCGAACCACCGACCCCTTGGAGGAAAGGCCTACACGTTACCACTGTACTATCCCGGAGGCTAGCTCTGTGGAGAGAGGGATCATGCTTCATAAGCAAGAGCTTGCTCCTCACAAAGATGAATATATATGTGTGTGGACATAGACATACATACACACACACACATATATATATACATATATATGTATATATACATATTCATAACCTAGCCACCGGGAGTCGTAAAAATGCCCGCGCTCTGACTGCTACCTCGAGCCCGAGAAAACGACATATCACCTTGAGAAGTCAAACGCAGGTGTCGTAGGGGAAGTCACCGCCGTGGCACAAGTGTTAACGCGCCGAACCGCGGTTGATTAGGAAGGGCATTCAATCAGGCAAGGGTGACACTGCCATATAACCTCTCAATACTGAATTGAGAGAGTCCTATGTCCTGCAGTGGAATGAATGGCTGTTGAATAATATACCTATTCATATTTGTGTATATATATACTTATACATGTGTGTATTTCTATTTATATATATATATATATATATATATATATATATATATATATATATATATATATATATATATATATATATATATGTGTGTGTGTGTGTGTGTGTGTGTGTGTGTATGTGTGGGTATGTATATACATATATACAAAAATAGGAATATGTGTATATATACACGTAGGTAGACACACATATATACAAATATGTGTTTGCGTATATACATGTATATATATGTGTATATGTATAAATACACCAACTTATATATGTGTGTGTGTGTATACATACATTCACCAACATATATACATATATATATGTGTGTGTGTTTGTGTTTGTTTGTGTGTGAGTGTGTGTGTGTGTGTGTGTGTGTGTGTGTGTGTGTGTGTGTGTGTGTGCATATAAATACATATGATATATATCTGTATACATATACATATATATACAT